CCGATGAGTGCCGCGTGCCGCCTGCTGCGTGCCGCATGTCGCACTTCGCATGTCGCAGTGCTCGTTGCTCGCATGCGCTGCCATTGTTCGAAGCCATTTAAAGTGCTGCACATCAAATTCCCAGAGACGAATCATCAATTGTGCGTTATTGGCTAGCTGAAGAGTGTGTGGCGTGTGATAGACAGCCAGATACCCTGTATACGGACAATTAACTTGGATTTGGGAAACTGTTATAGGCATGTACTTGAAATTGTAAAGTGTTAACTCAATTTATAAAATTTGTGGCATACTAAAGACATGGTATATTGGGAGTTACTATATGATTTATATCATTTTTTAAAAACTTGTTCTCATGGTTGAAAAACGAATTTTTACCTATATATAGCATATAGGTCAATCTTATCTAAAGAGGGATTTATTCATTATTTATTCCAATTAATATATCCGTTGATATATCCGTTATCAATATTTTACTATCCTAAACTATTTCTAAATATACTTCAACTGAAAACATGATAAATTTGCAAAAATTGAATTTCCTCTTGCTAGAGTTAGAGGTCTAGAATTTGAGAGAGAATCAAATTTTATGAAAATCACAATTTTAATTTACATTGAATTTAAATGAATCAATTGTTCGTATTTTACGTATTTTGAATTTTTTCTTTATAAGAATACACCATTATGGCTTTAAAATTTGACTGCTGAGTTGCCCTTTGAAATATTGTTAATAATCAACAATCATTTGACAGCAAGCGCTCTACAATTCGACTATGGAAATTCGAGTTGCTGTTAGCCTCCTCCATTGTTTGATAACTAAATAAATAGTATATCGACGTCAATTGTGGACCTAACAAATGAAAGCCAGCGTTCGCAATTTTGGGGCCTCAAATCACTAAGCTCTGCAGATGAATCACTGTTGACCCGCTCTGCAGATAGACATATGAATTATATATACGCAACACTGGCGACAGCTCGAAAAAAAAAAAAGAAAATAAAATGATTTATATGTTTTGCTGTTTTTGGGCTGTTGTATTCGTCGGGCAATATCAACTTGTCGAGGTGAACATTTGAAAATGTTTTTCAAAGCAGATAAAAGAGAGACACACATACGAAATATATCTATATAGAGATTCACTAAAGCAAAATGGACTAGTCCCAAAAATAATTTCAAAATTTCTAGCCCATCCATCTATGTATATCAAATATACAAGGCCATTGCTTTCTTCAAATAATTATTGTTTAGCCACAGGAATTTTCCCATTGAAATCCTCACAATTCTCCTTCAGTATTTAATGAAAGAAATTATTATTTACCACAGGCACTTTCCACATTGAAAATCTCAGAATTTACTTTCTGTATAGGAATGTAAGTAATTACATCAAACAAATCGAGTCTTCAGTTATATGTAATTTATGAATTAGTCGTAAATTGCAGTTTAATGAAACTAATTGATTCTTTTTGAAAAGAAGGAAAATTTCTTTTTAAGCATACTTCGCTCAGTAGTTGAGAGTAAAAATGAAAAGAAAAGACGAAAATAAATCTTAAAAATTCGCTTTGTTGCGCAATCAATGAAGAAACTTATGGCTAAGAGGAGCATCGAAAGTGCGAGCTTTGGCACAAGTTGGACGACAACTTCTTGAAAAAGTCGCCCTCAAAAAACCATCTCAGAGTGGAGCAGTACGCTTGAAAGTTTCGCAAAAGGTCCTAAGTACACATGTGCCATATTCATGCTGCTCGTAAACATATATTTCAAAAAGAAAAGTTTCCGCTGTGGAAAACTTGCTAACTAGACATAACTGTGACATAAATGTTATTTAGCCCCGCCAGTTTTTAAAGTCGCTCGAAGAAAGTCAGATTGTTGAGCTGCAATTTCCGATAGCTTATCTAATCGGAATGAAAGAGATTGCTTTTCTTCTATAGCTATTGTCGAATTGTTGTTAAGTGGAACTGCCGTTCTGATTCAAATATTTATAATGAATAATACATCCTGATGTAAAACAAAAAGGTATTTGGTAAATTTGTTTTTTTTTTCCTGTTAGATTAGATTCTAATGAAAAGTTAGTTTTTTAAATTTTTTTTTATATAAATTTAAAAAAAGAAGAAAATAACTATAAATAAATATTTTCTTAGTATATAAGTAATATGTATATAATAGAATTCAACAGATATCTTTATATCTATAGTTTACTTAATTCAAACATAAAATTTTCAAATAACTCAATTTTGTTTTGTAATTTTTCTTTAATTTTTGTTTAACATTTCAAATTTGTTAATATAATATGTAAATAAGTTGATTGCTCGACAACCGTTAGCAAAGTTTATCTTTGGCTTATTCTGTTCACAGCTTTCGCCGCCTACATTCTCTGTCGCCTTTCTGACCTTCGTCATTAAAATAATTAACGTGCCTTATGCCTTGCAGCCAGCTCTCAGCGTTCTCTCGTTTAATTCTAATTAAAAACTCAACTTTGTTCACTTTGCCGTCGCTTGATTTAATTCTCATTTTTTTTGTTTTTAATATTTTATCGCAAACTTTGCTTGCAGCTTTGACTCGTCTCTACTTCCGGCACACTTTCTTCCGGCGTACTTTGTGTGCTTCATTGACATTTTAAATTTAACCGTTTGACAAAAAGAAATACAAAAGAAATACGAAGAAAATAGCAAAGGGAAGGTAAAAGCTTCATCTTATGCATCCTTTCACCCATGCTGGCTGCAGTTCTCTTTACTCTAGCCATTTTTTTTTTTCGAAAATTTTCACAGGGCTTGTTTTCTCAACTCTTCGATAAACAATGGAAATTAACAGAGCAAGGCGGAAATTAAAGAAACTTCCGAGTGAAATGTTTGATTTAAAACAAAAAGTGCAGCCCAAGATATTGAAGGGAAATTTAATGGACAAATCTGGTTTCAAATTGTTTGGGTAAATAAATCTGTGTGAGAAAATTCTCTACACACTTGAGATTTTTCTTGAAGGATATTTTGGGATGGATGGAATTTTCACACAGTTAAGAATTTTGTACCCACATATTTGTGATTTTCCTTCTAACTTGAATATGTATACATGTAAGCTTTTAATATATAAATTTAATATATATATATATATATATTAGTACATCAATATAAACAAAAATTTCCATTTCGCATTTCTTTTACTTTTATCTTTGACAAACTCCTATTCATTAATTCAATTCCCTTTATAATAATAATTCATTTAATTCAAACAAATCTGAATGAATAATCGCTTAGGAGCTGACAAATCGCATGAGTTATCCACAAAGAGCCCATTAAAAAGCAATTTCCCAGCTTGGTATTTGGTCATCATAAAAGTTAAAAAAAAAAGGTAGAAGAAGAAAAGTCGACATGTTCCAGCTTCAATATGTATGTTGGCCAACTTGTTTTCGATTTCCGTCCGCAAAGAATTGAGGCATGAGATGCTCGATGCTCGTTGCTCGATGCTCCGGACACACAGGAAAATAATTTCATGTTAGGGTTGCCCAACCGCAGCGCTGCCACTCGAACAGAAAAGAGAAAGAGAAATTTTGTGCCCTGACATTGGGCATGGATTGGACCATAAATCCAATTGTCAACTGTGCCGCAACTTTCTCATATTGTCTGCTTACGAAAAAAAAAAAAAAAAAATATATCATTTTATTTTTCTAATTACAAGCAGAACGACCTTAATAATATCCCTCTAGAGCCAAAAAACCCACACAAACACACATATATATTGAGCAGCTTTACAGTTACAATGTGTGCCAGGATCTGCTGTGTGTGTTTGTGTTTTCCTTTTCCAAGTTGATTTAAAATGCTTTATTGACAAAAATTTGCTCGAAAAGAGAGCAGCAAAAATTGCATTTCCGAATGTAATTCGCCAAGTTGGCGATTCCTAACCGAACAAAAAAAAAAAAAAAAAAAAACTAGAAGTAGTACCAGGGAAGCGACTATATATATATTTATATAGAAAGTTTGAAAAAAAAAAAAAAACAACACACACACACAAAAAATGGGAGCAGAGTATCCAAGCGCTTGGCAGGCGGTGTCTCATTCGGTTGTGGACTCAAGTAGGCATGTAACCTCGTTTATTTTTTGCCCAGCATAATGAAAGGGGAAAGTTCTGCAATTTCACCGCCCATGGTTCCGGCTACTCACACACATACACACACACGACTCAAGTGTGTGAGTGTGTCTGTGTGCGCTTTAGGTGCACTAAATGGCATTTGAAAATGTTTTGTAGTTGAACTTTGGTGCCTGGTGACTGGTTGACGCTTGTTTCGCCTTTGCCATTTGCAACTGGAAGGCAAAACCGGCTCTGACAGCAGCCTGAGCAGACGAGACGGCACAGGAGCACATCCTAGCTGCCGGCACGCAAATAGAGAGTCACACTCACAGTCACACTCACTCATGCACACTCTCACAAATCATTTTCGCACACACTCACAGAAAAAGGTCAAATGTGAATTATAATTAAAAAACAAAATGAAAGCGTAATTTCTTTTTCTAGGAAATTGAAATACCAGACCCATGTGGACCGCTCGCTGTGAAGGCAGCCAACGTTCTTGAGAGCCAACATTATATACATACATATATATATACGTAAGTATATATATATATATCTTTGCGTAGCTCTTGCAGCCGAAACATAAACAATGTTAAAGAACTTTCATAACTTCATTAATTCAGTTTAGCTTTGTGTTAATAATAGCTTGCACATCAATTTCCTGCCTTTGTTGCTTCGTTTTTCGCATAGAAACGAAAACAAAGAGCACTTTTTATAGGCCAACATTCACAGTATAGATTTTATAAGAATTCATTTATAAATTTGCATATTTCACAGAATCCTCAGCCATGGTTGAAAAGTATGCAATACATTTTTGAAAAAATAAATAAATAACAAATATATTAAAAATTGTCGTGCTTTAATTTTCTCTTGAATTTAATACTATTTTTAAATTTATTTCTATTTAAAAATGTATTTCTGTTTTTCTCTAAATAGAATTTAAACTTACCCAAATATTTACATAAACACACGCGTTTATTATATTGCCAGCTAACAGTAAAACTCTGCTTCCCAAGTTTTACTTAGATACATCCCTAGAAGAAAAAGGAGAATAAGAAAAAAATGTCATTTGAAAATATGCCAATATATATATATATGAATTCCATATTTAGAAATATACATACATATATAATATGTTTAATTTTTCGTTTTTGAGAATTGCATAGCAGAGCGCAACTAATCAATTCATATTGTGTATAATAAAAAAAATGTATTTTCATGTTATGCATAATTATTTGAATTTTGAATTGAATTAAAATCTTTTACATGCAACACTTAATTGAATTCATGAGAATTGCATAGTAGAGCGCTACTAAATGACTCCTCTCAAATTCGTATAAAATTTAGCACATATGTAAAGCCCAAATAGGTTTACCTAGAAGCTACTTACAATGCATGCATTATTTATGGCTAAACTTGATAGAGAAATGATTATTTTAATAATGAACAATACAATTTATTCCATCAGAATTAATTATAAATTGATGGCGCAACTTTACGCAGTCTGCAGAATTTATTTTTGTTTTTTGTTTTCTCTATTGAATGTTAGGTTTTCCGGCTGATTTGGCTTAGTTGGAGATAGTAATAAAAGGCAATTGTAATTATCATAAAATGTAAAATAAACATTAAAAAAATATAGAAAATAGTTGACAGTTTTTATGATAAGCGCATTGAATATTGAGTGCAGTAATGCATGCAAAATGCGAAAATGTCAAGATAGAAATTATTTGAAAAGGATTAAAATCATTTGAGCATTTGAACAGTTGCACATTTCACTGCACTATAAATCATTTGCATTGGCTAAAACAATGCCATTTGATGAATTTGTTAGTTTGACCGTAATTAAATAACGTTTACTTAAAACACCTCAAATATTTAATCAAGTGGGGCGGCAGAAGTGTAAAATTTATATGCTGCATGTTGCTGTCATTTGATAATGTGAAAATATATCTAAAACAACGACTTGGCAATTCTCTGTGGCCAAATTAAAGTTTGATATATGTGTGAGTGTGTGTGTGTGTATTAATTGCATGTGTGGGCAAGGTCTGTGCTCTAATTAGAGCCAAGGGACTGTTGCGCCTAATGGCTGAATCCCAGCTTTGATGCAAATGAGCTCGAGTTGGCAACGCTTGAGGGGAGTGGAGGGGGCCACGGGGGCGTAGCAATTGAAACATGGGCTAGCAGCTGATTTGCACACTACATGATGCTCTGTATTTGTGTATTTGTGTGTGTGTTCGTATGTAGGTGACTCAGGGGCGGGATTAACATGGAAATGAAGATGAAGACATCAGAGATGCTCGTTTGTTTTTAGTGGGGCAGGCACAAAGTTTCGGGCTCCAGTTGACCAATTCACGCAGACATAAATTATTTATGACTGCGGCAGGGCAAACACAACGCGTGTGTATGTGTGTGTGTGTGTGCATAAGGATATCCGCAGGCAAATACTCAAGGACCATAACATGTACTCAGATATGAGTAAGTGCCATAGTTGAGCTGCCATGCTGTGTAGTGGATAATAAGGCACATAGCAATAATGGTTCGAATACACCCCGATCTATCCCCGCTCCGTTTCGCACCGAAATATCCCACACCTTAGCGCTGTGTAAACACGCAACTAGGCCCGTCTGTCGTACTATTTACTATGTGCTTAGTATAATTAAATGGGCCTAATGCAAATGCCAACGGTTTCTGGGGAGGGCCAGGCACAAGTTTATATTCATCATCCGCCTGGGCGTTCAGTTCGAACAGCTGCGCGACAGGAAGTGAATGCGAAAGCGAATGTGTGGATGCGGATGCGAAGCATGGACATAAACATGGACATGAACATCGACATGGACATGGATGGGTACACGATGATGCCCTTAGACTACGGCTGGGTCGTGTTTTTCGCATTTTGCGAGTGGATTTTATGCGAAACTGTGAGATCCTTTTGTAATTTAATGAATATGTAAATTAAAGCATGCACTTAATGCCAAACATAATACACACACATACGCAGTCAAGTATGTATCTGTGTGTGTGCTCATTTACGATACTTGCACGAGGCTATATAAATATAAACATATATATATATATATATATATATATCGAGTCGTTAATTTATTGCTGCCTTGAAGCGGAAAGTTTCAATCGGTGCCAATGGAATTAATCGCACAAACAAAACATACTTGCCATTAAGTACTCACACATACAAACATACAAACACACACACACACACACACTCATACATTTATGCATGTGTCTCTGTTAAGTGTATATATTCCATGAAGAGATAACACTAGAGCAACAACGAGTACCGTAACACAATTTCCCTTTGTGTGCGGTAAAGACAATAGCAGTTTGTGTTAGTATTAGTGCGAGCATCTTGAATACAATTCGATTTGAACGGCATCTCCGTTGTAGCCCGTGCCACGCCCAGAAGCAAAAACTTGTGCACGTTCGTTCGCCCCTCTCTTTCTCTCTTCCCCCCCCTCCCTCTCACTGGTTTTGACAGCATTCCATTTGAGATTTGCTTCTGCTCGTCGCTCGCATCGATGAAGAACTTTGCCATGCATTGAAGTCGATTAACCCATTTTCCGTAAACGGCCTGCCAAAAACTTGACAATCTCTTGAGTTTGCCCAACTATAGATTTCGTTCAGCTGTTGCTGTTGGCATTTAACATACATGTTAAGCCTAAAGTATGGGATTGGAATACTCATATGAATATAGTTTGTCTAAGATTTAGCAATCTAGTCTTACTTGAGTGTTGACTTATGTTATTTAACATGCATGCTAAAGCTACATGAGGAAATAATTGATTGATTAAGCTTGATTAAGCATTGCCAAACTAAATATAATATTTAACATACATTTTAGGCGTACTTGGATTGCTCTCTAGTCGTATATTACTAGTAATAGCCTAAGTAAGGCTTATCAATCTTGATGAGAGAGTACTTGAGAGTGATTATTAGTATTTAACATGCATGTTAAGGTTTCATGGAGTACTAATTAAGCTGCTGTGTAAATATATGATGCTGAATTAACAATGAGAGCAAACCATACAAATATTTTAGCTAGCGTAAGCTAAATACATTTTACTCGAAAGCTGCTGTTAATATTTAACATGCATGTTAAAGCTGTTTGTAAATGTTTAATAGAGTATAACATAACTATATTGAACAATATTCAACAATTAAACTGCCTTAGAAATAGAATGTCTTAAATTAAATTTACAAAAAAATTCAACATGCATGTCAAAGCTATGGGTAGTCTGTAGCTATATGTTAGTTGTCATACTTCAAAATGAAGTTGATTAAAAAGCTTCTCAAGTTTCTTTCTTGTGTGAATTTGTAGCGTAACTGCGTCATTTGTTCATACACACTCTGTACTCCCGACAAAGGATTCCCACAGATATGAAATATATATGTACATATATAGCTGAATTAATTGTCAGCCTTTATCTTGCCAGCAATTTCGTCGCTCATCTTATTGCCCATTTTTTCTGCTGTAGCTGCCAGCGCATGCCACTAATTAATTCTTATGTGCAATTAAAAGGAACTCATGTAGGTCAGCTGTAAAAACAATTTGCTCTTTCCCTTCAGTTATGTTTTTAAAGAGACCGAAATATGAAAGACTTGAGCCACTTGGTAATTGTATGAAATATTTAAGTGAAATCACTTGAATCACGAATTAAAATGACTGACTGATTGAGTGATTGATTGACTGTCTAGCTAAGTTTTACTGAATTCATCTAGCAACAAGACTGAGTGAGTAACTAAGCAATTGATTGATTCACTCATAGACTAGATTCCCTACAGAAGTTGCTTGAAAATATTTATATACTTTATATTCGGTCTACACTAAAATCATATTGAACCTGTAGCCAAAAATATTGCCATTGTATAAATGTTGTCATAAGCTAATCTCTACATAAATGTGTATTTAAGAGTCTTTAGTAACAAGAGAAACATTGTTGTTATGGGTTTATGTTGTGAGTTGCTTTAGTTGCCTCAGGGGTTGGACGAAAATCTGTATTCTTTTCCACTATTGTATTTTTTTTTTTTTTGGTTGATAAGATGCGTTGCTAAGTTGGATTTAACTAAAAATAAAATGCGTGTATATATGTATGTATAATAAAGGTTAAGAGTGGGCAGTTGGATTATTGAAGCAACGGGAGAAGTTTGAAAAGTTTAATATCTTAGATCTTAGATACATAAAATAAAAAAAAAAAATAAAAAAAATCATTACAATTTTAATATATTTAATAATACTATTGTCTACTTACATATGAGTATTAATTTTGAACATTTTAGATATTAATATATAAAAGTTAAATACCGTCAAATTAATTTGTTGCTGATAAAAAAGGCCACCTAAACTTGTGGCACTCCAATTTAGGTAAGTTATTAAGTTAGTTTTCCTTAGGGCTTTTAAAAAGTTTCACAAAAGTAAGTTAAAGAAGATGAAGGCAAATAAAAAGAAAACTGAAAATATTTATGATAAAAAAGCGGAAACATGCGACGCCAAGCGCAAGACACAAAGAGAGCAAATTAATTTTTTAAATATTTAGCGTGTAACAAAGGAAAGACATTTGTGAAATGAAAACCAAAAAATGAATAGAATTTAATAATTGTGCCAAAGTGAACATTCGAGTTTACCTGAGAGCACAAATAATATAAACAAAGCTGCAAATCTTAACTTGAAGCGGCCAATAAGAATTTCAAATGACTCGAAGCACATTTAAGATTCTGATTTTGGATATAAGAGAAAAGAGACTTAAAGATGAGGTAATAAAACACTTTAAATTTCGGTTGCATTTAATGTGAAGAGACTTCTCTTCGAACTCTCAACGCAAACCAACAAGAGTTGTCAACACTTGCTGAAGCTGTTGAGGTGGTTCGTAAACTTTATTAAATGCTGAATAAAATAGTTCATTTGGCTTCGGCCAAAGGGAATGAATGCTGTTCATTTGGTGGTCTCTAGAGCTGCTTTAACTGTTTGTTGTTCAAATTACATATTTAACTAGTAATTTGCAAAAAATGCATAATGAGTAAA